GTTAATTATTTACACACAGTATACAACTTTGTGAACCTCTGTTCTTGAAAATAGTTTTTACCTGTCAGTTTTATTCAACGCGAACATATTTTTCCCTTGCTCTTAATTTTAAGGAAGTTGAGTTGAATGTTCTCTCTCGGCAGCATGTGTATTCAATTTTGAATTAACACAAGTACTCTTAAATAAATAGTACTGTATGTATTTTCTTTATTTAAAATGGAAATTAGGTTTTAAATACAAGAACTTCACCATCACGGTGACGTCACATGCCCGACACGGTTCCGCTACTATAAAATTTAGCACTAAACCACTGATTACAATAAACTCAAAGGTATATTTAATTGAATGACAATGTCATGAGAACCAGTGTCGGGTCAAACATATATAACATAAGGCAAAACGTAAGAGTCAATTATTCTTTTGAATAACGTTCAGAGTTAATGGATTAACTATCAGGTTTTGAATTGTTATCAACAGATGCCTTCCCAAACGATTGAGAGAGCTAGACAGTTAATCGACATTTATGTACGCGGTTGTTTAAATTCCTAAGGCCAAAGACAAAGGACACCTTTCATCATCTTTATAACATATAGTTAATTCTGATATTATTTTGCGACTTTAACATAAACAGAATAAAGTCTCTAATTTATTTGCGCAGTATTGTGAAGATAAAAGTTTTAAGGTTTGGGAAAAGGCAAGCTAAGCTCCAATTAAACTAATGTTTCTAACAGGCGAGACTTATGGTATTAAATGCCGTCGGTAGTAGTAGATGGAGATCAGCACTTCAGAACTTAGGGAATCCATGATTTCTTGAAAATTGAAAAAGTGGGTTTCAATATCCCTTCTCAAAGGTGGTTATGCAAGTGCAAATACAACCTTGAAGTATTAAGTGATCCTTTATTGCATGTATGTTCTGTTAACAGTGTAAAGCTGACATGTGGAAAAAGAAACTTTTTTAATGGTCGAAATTAAATGAAGCCTTGAAAATTATTCTAGCTAATTTGTTGAAGTGAAAAATATGGTTAAGGAAAATGTACTTATGTGTATTGATATACACACATATATATCAATCTATAATTTATGTGAAGCGTTTAAAGCAACTATATATGATGCAGCACTTACTACAATTCATTGATTTCACCATCAAGTCTTTGGTGTTTAAATGTTAAGAAATGAAAATTCAATTTTTTTCCCAACAACTTTATTTCATCCATTCCCCAAATGATTAGAAGACATAGAAACGATCACACACACACACGCACACATACATACAAGACATAATGTGCGGACAGTCTTTTGGTTTCTGGCCAAAAACCAAAGCAAAAATAAAACAGCACACCAAAAGGGGGAGCAGCAAATGGCAAGAACTTGTCCAGCCTTGTTTTTTTGTAATCAGACAGATTTCAAAATATATAAAATATATCAAAAATATATATATTTGATCTGCATGTTCACAGACTATTACATAATGTTTGTTAGACTTTGGTTGCCAAACAAATTCACAATCACTCACTGTACATGATAGGAACTACCTACAGATGTCACTATTTTACATTGTGGAGAGTGAGTTCAAAACAATTAAAACTTTCATTCAGTGGACTTTGCAAATGATGCCGAAGAACAACCTGATTGGCCAGCTGCATGCCTAACTAATGTACATCACATCAAAACTGTTAAGTTTACCACTCAGTTGGTAAAATGACCAGTCTATGGTTAGCAATAATTTATAAGTGATAAGAAATATTGTTAAGAAAGACAAAAGAAGAATATCTAAAAATATTCAAATTATATATTAAAGACATGAGAAAAAATTTGATGAAAAGAAGAAAATATTTACATAAATAGTCTTAACATCAAGTACTAGCTATTGTATATGTTTTAACTTCTATATGTATTGAGATTTGTCAATTTCTGTTATGACTAAGCAAACAAGTTAAAAAATAAAACAGGTGCATAATGTAATTTTACTATCAAATGAGAAGTACAATATCTTAAACATCTTTAAATGTGACATTTCCTGTCATATGATGAAACAGATACCATTAAGTCAATCAGGCTGTTATAATAACCACAGAAAACTTGTGATGGTGGAGTTTTAGCAGCCATCAGTAATCACAGGAGATACATTTCAAATCAGTTTTCCAAAATAATACTTGATCAAAAATAATAATATATCCTAATATGGTAAAATTTCATGAAAAGTATATAATACGAAAAATGACCTATTGATAAAATTTTAGAATATATCTACAATATTTAATTTTGACTAATTTTTAACACAACTTTATTTTAATTAAAAACGATGATTTAAAACAAGAAATATTATTGTTCAAATCCACTTTATGGCTTAAACTAATTTGAGCAACAATTCTTGTAATGTTTTTCTATAATCTAAGTCAGCTTAATGAATGATCTCTATAAAAATACCACAGCCTTTAATGTATTATACAATAAAAATCCAAGTTATCCATTACTTTCTTTTTCAGTTAAATGCTCAATTATTAAGATTAATTATTCAAAAAAAGAAAAGACTTCGTAAACAACTTTTGACTACAAGATTTTCTCATAAAAATATAAAATATCTTGACATTACTCAGTTATTTAAGCAGAATGAAGGTGGTATATTTATATATATATTCATTTGTTTAACCCTTTCACTGTGGCTGGGCTATATATTTCCCAGTGCTCCCATTCCTTCAGACTGCGACTAATGTTTCCCACTGTTATTTAGAATTGTAGTGTGTGATATACAGGAGTAAAATGAGTTGAAAACCATTTATTGGCATCCCACCTAATGTTGATATATAATTTCCCTCAATGTTTTCCACTCAGCCCTTCAGTAACCAACAAGATGCCTAAGCAGAATGTACGATAACTGCATGCTGACCATGCCTGCATCGCTAGAGTGGCGAGTAATAACCGTAACTACTATGTAAATATGCTTAACTCAGATAGCTTAGAAGATAGTGAAAATGAGTCAAGTGGTGTTCAGATGTGTGATGATGAAGAGGCAATGAGACAAGAGGATGCTAGCTCTCCATCTAGTGATGATAGTCAAGATGATGAACCAGGACCCAGCAGAAACAAAGAAGACTTAAATGGTATCAACAATGGGAAACATTTGTCCCAGTTGCAGCGTGAGAGGGTGGGAGCACTGGGAAATATGTACGTCCCAGCCGCAGCGAATAGGTTAACAAATGTTTGTATTAGTTCATGTCTTAACTTCTTACTCGAAAATAAGTATTAAGGAATTAACACCAAATAAAATGTTAATGAAAACTGATTACTAATCCCATTTAAGTATCTATATACTTCCATAAAATATTTCATAATACAAAAATGGTTTTACTTCTAAGTTTAATAACAAAATAAAAGTAAATGGCACTTCACTGAACAACACCTTTTGATAGAAATATATGGATAACAACTACAAGATCCTTGAAGTACAAAATGCTTCTCAATTACCAGAGACTTCATTTAATTAACTGATTAGCTTATGTAAGGATTTAAAAAATATTATACTAATGAATCTTTCTGATAAGATCTAAACAACTATTATTTCAAGAAAGTAAGAAATTTACCAATTCTTCTGCAAGTGAACACATGAAAAAGATTCTTATCTCAATAATAGCTACTGAGATGTTTATATATGAAATATAAACAAACACACACAACTTTGTTGATGAAAATTGTGTCAAACGATGTTATGCAGTATATCAATGGGTTATAGAAGTAAAAAACAACCAAGTTTAATGATCGTATATATATATAAAAAAAGTGTTAATTCCAGATTTATAAACATTTGCTGGAGGAGAAAATTTTTTATATTTATATGTTTAATTATCTCTTTGGGATTCATTTTCGTGTCTTCTTTATCATTTTATTTGATATTTTAAGGTTCTGCACATTATGTTTTGAATAAGCTGCCATCTAATACCACTAACCTGTACAATTTTTTTATCAAATTAAAGTAAGCTTCCTTATGCACTTTCTTGGCTTGCCATGCCATCCCCCATTCTAAATGCATTTACAAATAAAAATCCTTAATTTTTTTAAACTTAAAGCAATATACATCAGATCCTATTCATAAGCTTTGCTTGACCATTTTTTCACTATTTAAGTTGGCACTGGTGGGAACACTTTAATCATATTTTGCTGAATTAATCAACTGAAACCAGAATGCTCACTGGACTTTTTTTTTTTTAACTATCAAAAAATTATAATCTATCAAAAGATGGTTTTTTTCATTTTCCCACACTACACATTTTCTTTTCTCATAACTTTCAGTGGTTACAGTATTCATTCCAATTTTATGAAACTGTATAAAAAAACTGTGTATTTTAAGATAATCAAAATTTTATACCAGAACATATGTAAATCCAAATCATAACATTTCTCACACATTGCACAGTTCATTTAAGTTACTGGAACATACGAAATAGTTTAACTATTCATTTGAAGAGATAGTGTAACACTTAAATAGTATTTTATATACATTTTCTTTTCTCTCACATAGAGTCTAGAAAAATGTTCTAGAATATTGACATCTACATTTCATTTCTGCTCTTTAACCTTTTATTCAAATATTTTTAATATAAAAAATATCATTTGTGTGTGAAGTGGAATAGTAAAAAGAGCATAATTAATTTTTACTAATATAAAGTCAAGCCTAACACAGTTGTGCCTGTCCATCATCTCATAAACAGAAATTTGGTTATATGTGTATTTTTTTAGTGTGAGTTTGTAAAGATATTGCTATCAGAGTCGATAAAATACAAAAATAAAATTACTCGTGACTGATGTCTCAGTATCTCCTACAAAAACTCATGGCTTTTGGTATGAAATCTATAATTCAATTCTGTAACTTTCACCTTTCTCCACAAACATAGCCACTGGTTTTACCTTTTCTACATGGTAAAACTGGCAGCAGATATGTACACTATCATTATACTTTCAAACTAATATGACAAACACAAATGGCACCAAATTGTTAATCTTGCCTGCAACCCAACAATAAATGTACAATGGGTTAAGTACAAGTAAATAATGTCCAGGCAAGGTTGAAGTGAGCTGCCACATTAAGCAGCGAGTATTAGTTTCTGTAGAACACCATACATGACATGGCACCAATTGCAGATTAAGTCTGCTTTGGGACTGAAAAAAGAAAACAGTTATATCAGCCTTTGTATTCAATACACTCTTGTACTGAGCAAGACACACGAATTACACTACTATCGGGTTTACAGTTACAGTATCCACTGTAAAAATAGCTTCATCTCGAGATCTGTGGCATTGGCATGACGTTACATTGTGTTATAACTATTGAGCAAGTAGATTTACCATACCCACATACTCACATTGTCAAGTAATCACATACACAGAGAAGCACGCAGTCATGTTCTACGTGAGGTTTTAAGTACATACGGGTAATGTTATATACACAGTATGGTATTTGTACATATGAAGTGTTTACCTAACTGAAGGAACTTGAAACTTAGGAGCCAGCACATTTTTAACTGCAGATTACTAAACAGCATCTAATTGTTATAAGTGGTAGCTAGCTGTTCACTTTGGACCAAAGAAAGTCTGTCCTGATGACATGCTACTCTGAGAATTCATCTGGCTACCACGAGTATTAGTAGCATACAGTTGCTGCTGAAAGTTGTGAAATTGCACTGCATAGTTTGGGTCAGCAGTTGTGGGGGCATACAGAGGAGAATGCTTATAATTCAGTGAATGTCCTAAAGATGGCTGTAGGGGTTGACTGACATCTGCCATTCCCGCAGGAGATATTTGTGTTTGTTTTCCAGGAAACATTCCTCCACCTTGCCCTCCTCCCATGCCACTTATACTCATCATGCCATTTCCTTGTAGTCTTGGAGGCTGTCCAAACACTGCAGGATCATTTCCTCCAGGTCCACCTGGACCAGGGTACATTTCACCACCAGTAATGACTTGATGACTCACTGGTGGCCCTCGCAACATTGCCCCTGCTCCCATACTCATTGGTCGCTGAGTATTTATCATAACTTGCCCTGGACCAGAAGGACCCATTGAAGGTCCAATGTTCGAGTTAATGGGAGTAACTCCTGGGAAGTACTGCAGGTTGTGTGTTGGAACCTTTGCATCAAGGTTGGTCAGTGGGGTAGCAAACCTCTGCAGGAATTCCAGACTAGGTGGCCGAGTGGACCCAGGAGTAGCTACAGTGGGTCTAGCTGGTAAGTACTGAATAGTATTTGGAGCACTTGCTTTCACATGTACATTTGTTGTATTATAGGGAATGCTTGCTGGCCCTGTATGTTTGGCTATCATTCCTGGTCCCATGGCTGCTCCTACAGGACTCATCATTCTTTGTCCACCCATAGGATGTCCTGGGAAGGGCTGTGGTTGGTTGGGTCCACGTGGCCCCACCATACTCATATTCACAGAGGGCTTTTGAGATACAGAACTATGGGCTATGGATTGGTTTGAGGTGACAGAGGAACTAGCAGTCTGTGCACCCATGTGTTGTCCTTGAACAACAGATGAATGTGGATGGTGCATGGTAGGGCTGTAAGTGGGAGTTGTCACATTCTGAATGTTGAGCTGCTGAATTGACATCGTGGCATTAACATAAGTATTATTCACAGTCTGAGGACCACCACCTATGTTATGGGCCATCTGGGAACCCATGTATTGTTGTTGCCCTTGAGCCCCATCTGATCCACCCTGCTGTGTCATGGATTGCTGAACACCTTGAACTGCTTGCATGGAGGTATTAAAATTTACAACATGTGGTTGATTTGGATTGTTTCCTAAGTTACCACTTACATGCATACTAGACATATTCATTGTTGTGGTCATCATACTCTGTTGTGTTTGAGAAACTGTCGAAGATGCTGGTCCAGCTGAATCACTCATTGCAGCAATGGAACCAAGTGGGTCAAAGTGTGTGAGTTTTTGAGATCCCATGGGCTGATAAGAAAGCTGAGGTGGCCCAGAACACATCTGGTTTACAGTCCCATGCTGGGCAATATCTGAAGACAACTTTACTCCAGGAGGGATGTCAAAAGGTGGAGTCATTTTCTGGAGGGAATGGAGGTGGGAGTGACCTTCATTTGATATCAAGGTTTGGGCAGGACTTGCATAATGATGAGGTGGTATAGCTTCAGCTCCAGAAGGTGGGAACTGAGGATGTGGTTGAATCCCATCTGGGCCCACCATGTGTGTCCCTATTCCAGGGTATCGAGGTTGCATCATCTCCATATTAGAATTTGGTCCTCGAAACCTATTCATTATTTCCACACCACTGTTTGAAGATGTAAATCTCTGTATGCCATCCATATTTGAACTGCCTGGTCTAAGGCTATTACCAATGTTAATTCCACCAGGAAACCGCTCCAACGTCCCAGATCCAGCCATACGAGCCATTCCCTCTAAACTAGAATTTTGGGGAACAGCAAAACGTTGCATACCAAGGTCTATTCCCTGAGGTTGTGGATTTATGAAACGAGAATTATTGTCATACCCAGCCATCTGATTTGAAAGAGGATACCTAGGTTGGTTATTGTCCACTATTGGAGCCTGCAGTCTTACATAAGACTGAGCATTCATATTATCAGGAGCACCACACATTGTTGATACTGGCAATGGCCCCTGAATTCCTTCAGATCTAGGGAAAGGCTGAGAGTTATCTGTGGATAACCTGTGGAAAGAAAAGGAAAGGATAAGTTGGTATTCATGACCTAATACATACTTTAATAAAACAATGACATTTGTACACTGTTAAGAAAACAATAAAAAGTAAACTCTAGAAACACAAAGTTTTACATAATACAACTAATAGCTCTGAAGAAAAGATAAGTTACAGTAAAACATTTTCAGTTTGCCCATATATACTGTAGAAATGAGTTTAACATGCCTTTAAAACAACTAAAAAAACAAAACGTATTATACTACCTATAAGCTTATATAGTTAAAATAGGGCATACAGCTCAATTATGCTAGTAAATACCATTCACTTGAAACTGGATAATATATTTGTTTTGGTGTTACAATTCTTTTGTATCAAATTAATTTTACAAAACATAAAATGAAACTAATACTGATATATGACAACTGACTTGGCCACATGTAAGACCTAAAATTTCAAAATCAAACATTAACAAAAATCCATGAAATTTTTCACTTTTCACTAAATTGAAAAGAACTTCAATCTTGAGTAACCTACTGTATCAATGTAAAACTAACCAATATTTATCAAAATCTTTGGAGAGGCACAATATATTATCTTATAAACTTCTGGCAAGGTTGTTTCTGAAATGGTGGCTTTCATCTGTTGTAGTCTAAAATATCTTAGGAATTATACAAGTTTCATATTTGAGATAAAAGGCCATATGAAAAGTTAAATGGGTAGCTATTCAAACTATTATGAAGAATGCAAGCTCAGCTTCTACAAAGCATTGAGTATCTTATGTTAAAATTATTCTGAATACGTAAATCAGCTAGTCATGTGACAACTATATCTGCTGTAAAGTCACAGTGGAATGAAATGTATCGGAACAATGTTTTGATGATGTTTCACATTTTGTAGACAGTGTGATGCTACCAAAAATTTATTGCTTTTGACCTTTCTAACTCAATATAGTCAAACACTCGTATCATAAAGATGTGTTAAGATCACAGATTTAGAATTTCCAATACAAAGATTCTCGCAATTAATGGCACTTAAAAACTAAGGAATATGGATAACTTGGGGAACCAGGGTCACTCAGGAAAAGATCTGCAACAAATTGTACCACAGCTGTGATAAACAAAATACAGTATTTTGTAACAGGTTCTCACAAGTGTCAGTGGCAGTAGTCATCCATGTGCCCTGGACAACAGCATACCATATAATAAACAAGAAAAATCTCAGCCTGGAAAAGCAATACAAGTTACATGTACACAAGTTTCTTCCAGGACACATAACTGCAGTCATCATATACTTCAAGCAGCTGAAGAATGAAATGGGTATTTATGCTATTCCACCCAAAGACACATCACTTAAGTCTTTGGACACAATGCCTATGAATTTCTGTACAGTTTGAATGTTGAAATACATGGATTATGGAAAGCTGCAGGGTGTGTGTGCATCTTTAAAATGACAGTCTTATAATGGAGCCTTTTGCAATGAAAATGCTGCAGGGCTATTGTCAAGATGCACAGTCATCAGAAAAATCATGATAGGATGTGGCAGCATGGACTGTAAGGAGGTGGTGAGGCTCCAAAATATTTCTAACGTCATGTACCCAATCTCTTTACAATAACACTATACTGTTTTTTGTAGCATCAAGATGAATATCATGACAAATTACTCAGAACTGAAAGATTATTAAACTCTTGAACACAATGTCAACTTCTAAACTAGTACCTGTGTTATAAAATTTGAAGGGAACATAGGTAAATTTCTAAAACTAAATAGTTTAGGTTTACACAAAATAAAATGTAACACAGGTAAACTTGTAAATTAATAATAGGTTTAGATTTTCATAAAACAATAAAAAGCATAGGCCAGTTCTAGACTAGAAAAGGTTATCACAACCCTGATAGGAACACAGGTCAGCTTGTAGACTAGTAATGGTTCACTGTAAGCCCCACAGGGAGAAAAGGTCAGTTTCCAAAAAAGCAAAGGTTTATTACAAATGTAGAAGGAACATAAGTCAACTTCTAGATTGATTATAGGAAGTTTCTACCCCAATATGTTTATTTATCACAAATATTTTAAAAATGTCACTTCACCGACATTTTATTAATGACTTGAAACAAGTAGTTATTTTTTTTACAATGAATAACATCAGTGTTAACAACTGAACAATAACAGGATATCAATAAACCCTGAATAACAAATCACATATACTTTAGCAATTTTTTTTTTCAAACAGCACTAATGGCACACATGAACATCTGATTCTTTCCTGCAAATGTTTTTATAAAATTTGTTGGAAAAAGCATTTCAAGTATAGAAATAATACTTGGCTGTTTTGGAGTTTCTATTTATAATTCTCAACAAAATGAAGATTAGTGGTAAAATGTCTTTTATAAAGTGACTTTAAAATTTCCGACAAGACTTATCCTCTAACAGAAGATATTTTTAAAAGAAACAATGTAGTAAATTTGAAGAAATTATACTTCATTTAACTGAAAGCAAAGCACACATTTGTGCTCACAAATATGGCCATTTGCAATGAATTTTAATACTTAATAATAAAAAATATCTCAGGTTCAGAAATTTAAAGCATAAAGCTGAGAGGCCAGTCTTGCCCCAAACACATTTAACACCTTATTGAAAAAGGAAAAATAAAATTATCATACAAAATCCTAAAAAAAAACTATACTCCCAAATAAAAATACACAAAATAATTAAAATGGATTGTTTTTATTAATCAAAACATTATTTTATTTAGGCAAACGAATATGTAAGTGAAATATATATAAAAGTGTAAAAGTGTTTCAATTAATTTAGAAAAGGAAGAAAAAAAAATATGTTATATTATTTAATGAAAACATGCACTTTGAGAATGAACATTTCTGAAGAGATGTCTATTCTTCATTCTACAAGCTTTTTGAAAGCTTCCAGTTTTTTTGGCATTTATAATCACTTTGCAGCAATGCGTAATCTTACTTCTTGATGCTCATTTGAAAACTTCATTCCATCAAACAAATGTTTACCTTCAAATTTTCAGATTATCTCATGTGCAATTTCTTTACATGCTCTCAACATGCTTCAGAAATTAAATTTTGAGGATAAGATGATTCTTAGTCACAATATTTGTAGCTTACTTTGTATGCAGCACTTAATATATTTCTGTGGCACAAGTTCAAGATTTAGAAATTGTAGTTTGGTATTGGTAGGTCTAAAGGAAAAATGGTCCTGAAATAAAAATTATCCTACTTGTTTGTTATTAAAACATAATTCAAGAAAGCAAAAATTAACACTGTCATAAAGAGCTGAAATTAATGTTTGTCTGGTAATAATTTACATGATATGTATTAACTCAAAGTAACACTTTGACTTGATTTTAATCTAAAGGAAAACATTTATTCAGCTTTTTAGAAACTTTGTTTTCTGTCCAAGCTATAGAGAGATACATATAGTTAATTTGTACATGATTAACGGGGCTCAAACACATAATAAATACAGGCTTTAACTTGGTAACAAATCCTAACATTTTCAATTATTTGCTAACCTTGATGGGGACATTAAGTCAGCTTCTAGACTAGTATTGGGCTGTTTTTGAATTGTGAGCTCTTGGCCATCAAAAGAATTAAGGTACATAATTTGTTGTGGAGATGGTACAGGCATCAAGCTCGCTTCCTTCCCCAAAGTTCCCGATTGTAAAGGAAGTTCTGGGTTCTGTACGTTCTTGTGAGATGATGCAACAGGATTACATGGATGGTGACCACAGTTAGTCGAAAACATGTCTTCTGGAACAAAAGAAAACTATTTTTAATTGTATTACAAAATATAAACATATTCTTTAGGTCTAGGTGGACATTAACTACTCAATTAACTGATAAAATCACATTCAGATTTTGAACAAAATACATTTTTAGCTCTTTTCAAGAACGAGAGAAAAGCTAATTAGTGATGTCAGATGTTATTTATAATATAAAAACCCTAGACTAATATGTATTCACAAAGCATAAAAGGTTTAACACTAGAAACAATGTTCAGCAAGAACCCAATTATTTCAGATATTGTTTGATGAGATGAATTAAAAAATACTTCTACAGCTTTCATAATTCTCTCTCCTGCCATGACTCTCTTTTTTCCCCAAAAGTAAAACAAGGCCATGAGTGCATTCCTCATACATGGCAGCTAAGGAGACTAATTTCAAACAACATTTGGAGTTTGACAAGGATGCCTACTCTCACCCACCTTCTTTAACAATTTTCTAGAAAGAATAATGATTGATGCCTTGGAAGATCATGCAAGTACTGTCAGTATTAGAGGCAGACCAATCACTAAACTTCGCTTTGCAGATGACATTGATGGCTTAGCAAGAGAAGTGCAAGAACTAGCCAGCTTGGTGGAATGCCTCGACAAAACATCTACAGCTTACAGCATTGACATAAGTGCCGAGAAGACTAAACTCATCAGCAATGAGATCAACGTACACGGACAAAGGCTTGAAACAGTAAAAAGTTTCAAATACCCAAAATCAATTGTTACAGATGAGGGTTCCAAACCTGACATACCTTCCAGAACTGCACAGTCAACAACAGTGCTGGCAAGGTTGAAACCAATATGAAATGACAACAACATTACTCTTAGTTCCAAAATTAGGCTGTTGCACTCCATTGTAATATCCATATGTCTGCAAGCTTGTGAAACATGGACCCTCACAGCAGATCTAGAAAGAAGAATACAAGCCGTGGAAATGTGTTGCCACAGAAAGATCTTGCACGTCTCATATAAAGACCGTGTTACCAATAAAGAGGTCTGCAACAAGATCAAACGGACCATACGAAGATCTCTTGACCTTTGTCAAAAAATGCAAACTGAAGTGGTATGTTCATGTTTCATGGTCATCTGGCCTGGCAAAGACCATCTTGCAAAGCACCATGAAAGGGAAATGAAGAAGAGGTGGGAAGACAACATCAAAGAGTGGAAAGGCCTGGAGTTCGTCAACTTCCTGAGGTTGGTGGAAAACTGGGAAAGATGGAGAGAGCTGGTTGTAAATTCGTCAGTGGTGCCTCACGACCCTGAGGGTTAAGAGACAAAGAACCAAAAAATATTCATAAAAATATAAAAGTAATATTTACAACAAACAGTGTTCTCTTTCTGCAATTGTGTAAATCATTATACTTTTATAAAACTCTTGAAAGCTCAGATGGATTACATGTTACTTTGTTAGTCCTTTAAACTTTTTGGACAACAGTTTATGTATCAGTTCGATGTAAATCATGAAACCTACCTGTATGTTTGGGACTATTACATATACATAAAGTGCTTGACTGGTAAATCTATCTTGTTCTACTTCTGACAACAAAGCTTTTTACTTTGAGAGCTTGCATTCCAAGTTTAATTTAAAAAATAAAATCAAGAAACTACAAAAGCTAGCTGAAATAAAACACAGTTTTGGTTACTTTTCTAGAAACTTAATAAAACTCAGATAAAACAAAAACATGTTATAATTACAGTCTACCTGCTCAGAATGATACGAGCTAATTTCATGCATATGTTTACCTGATGAAGTAGACCGTGTAAGTGGTGACACTGATGTTTGGTTGGTCATCATCGTTGAATTAATATCTAAAGAACTAACTGATGTTTGCTGCCCAGGTGCTTTCCTGGAAGAATTAGTACCCATAGGACTGAAGCTTGGTAACATAGGTGCCATTGTACTTGTTGTGTTAGTACTTGAAGAGTTTGATGTCCGAATATTTCCACTTGTTTGCCCATTGCATGCAGATGAAGATGGTGGAGGTTTTGGGGAATTCATAGGTGTAGAATGTAAACTATTGTTAACACCACCACCAGGACTTGGATGAGGCATGCGAGATCCTGGAGGAGTGAGATGAGAAAACTGACGTGAAGGTTCAGCAGGTGATGTAACAGAAGGCATTCGTGGAGATGGCATAGAGAGATTTGGAGAAGGGGGATGAGGGCTTGGCATGGCCCCATGTGGATTGGGATGATAAGGTGGAGGGGGCCCTTGAACCCTTGTATTTGGACTCATTCCAACATTTGGATTTGGGCTATTTACTGTTGGCTGAGTCTGTTGAACCATGGGTGAGGGATGGGATACTGATGGCTTCTTCTGTCTTTCTTCTATGAACTGCTGTTGCAGCTTCTGCCACTCCATCTGGGCTGCCATTGAGGAAGGTGGGACATTCTGCTGAGTGGGATACTGAGGACCCATCATGCTGGAAGGCACATGATACATACCACCATCTGAAGATGGATGTGGATGATGGTCACCCATAATGCATCCTTGTCCACACATCATCTCCATCCCAGCATGAGGACACATCACTGCACCAGACACACAACCATGACTTCCCATTCCACCAGGTATCATAACCCCTTGTGAATTCATTATAGGTTCTGAGGAAGGAGGGACCTCATTACCCTGCTGATCTGGAAATAACCATTGTTGCATCTTCCGAATCATTGCTAATTGTTCTTCTCGATGTTGGCGTTGCTGAGGTGTTAAATTTTCATCAGGAATTTTCACTCCTGTTAAAACATTAAATAAAAAGATCTAATATACTATTTACACACATACATCTATATACACATCCATATACATACTTCTGTCTCCAAAGCATTAAGAACATTAAATATTATATATATATATATCACTGTGTTTTAATAATAGGCTTGATTAACTTAAAATTTCTTCTTTCTTGATCACAGTTCTCAAATCTAATATTTCATCACTAACCTGTAAGGGAAGACTGAACTTGTGAAGCACCACAAGGTTCACTAGGTGCACCAAGGTAATGAGCTCCTGGGTTAGAGCAACAGCCAGATATATTAGAACCCATAGGCCCACCAGTATTACCAGGTAGCATACCACGGACCATTGGTCGCATTCCTGAAGATTGACCTGGGTTAGACATATGAGGCTGAAATTTTTGATGAGGATTCATATTCATACCATGGAGTGTACCTTGTTGCTGATGAGTGCCCCAGTGAAATACTCCTGACCGAGGATTCATGTCAGATGAGCCACAAGGCCCTATCCCAGAAGTTCCAATGGGAGGGCCTGACCAGCCACTGCTTCCACCAGAAACAGAACATGAGGCAGCACCATGAACCATACAGGGACCAGTGCACATAGATTGTCCAGAGGGCAACTGGTGGTTGACCATGGATGATCCTGGTAGTGGACCCACACCTCCTACCTTCAGCTGTTTATTTTGTTTTCCTTGAGCCAAGCTGTTAAACCATGGTGATGTGTTTTGACGATTAAATTGGTGGACTTTCAAAGGATGTTTCTAAAAAATAAGTGATGTAAAAATCTTTTAGAAAGAAATTGCAAATTTTTCAACATTTAACAACATGGTTTTAACAGTTTGTATAAAACTATGTGCATGAATTGTGTGATGACAATCAATTGTGATAAATATCCTACAACTGCTTGTTTAGTTGTTTTGAAGTAAGGCCACATTAGGCTATCTACTGTGTCCACCACGAGGAATCAAACCCTGGATTTTAGTGTTGTAAGTCTGTAGACTCACTGCTGTTCTATTAGAGGACACTACAACTGCTTAGTCTTTTGTTTTAAAAAATCAGATCTATCTGTATTAGTATAACACAATTTTAACTGTTAAGTCTGCTAGTCCTAATAATGTCTTTAGAATACTCTGTGATATGAGATTTGAAACAAAAACTTGTTTCACATGTTAAATGTATTATCAAATGTAAATGACTTTTGCCCATTTACTACAATTTTAAAAATGGTGGTGACAACATTGTTAGTAATGGAAGCATATTTAGTAAATCTTTATGCATGGTTTACTGAAGGACTCTGCTGAATGGATAGTATGATCTACGATACATATTAAGAAAAATCTACTAGTTAATTTCATTGTGAATTGGAAAGTTTAGTGTTAATAATTTAGGAAATTATCAACTGTCTCTTAACTACAATGACCACCTCACAGAAATAAACTAGTGAAAACAATCTTGTTCACTGATTTGAAGACCCACAAGCTACATAGCCAGAGGATCTTACCAAAATTTCTGGTACTAATTTATTCCTGATTTTTTCAATAACTGCTTGGTCTTGCTTGCTGTGTTGATGTTTAAATAATCCCCATATAAAAGTGTTTCTGATTGATTTCTGCCTATCCATGAGAAATATTTCAAAACCTGAAAGCAAAGCTCTATGTTTTTTGGGTGTTATTTTTGTCATTTTTATAAATCTCTTAATATTTATTTCTCTTCTTTACCTTTTACTTACATTCTTCAAACAATATTTCATGTTAGTTTTAACTTATTACTCTCATAAAGTAATTCTAAAAAATCAAGATCTCATAGACTTGCATGTTTGTTCTCTGACCTAGTGTTCTTCATATCAAAAATTATAAAAAAATACACTCATAACAAACTATTTCTTTATTTTTCAGTATTTTCCTGAGCATAACTTAATTATTCTAATCTTTAGGAGATTTTACAATCATAATCTAATTGAGTGAACATTAAGTATCCAAATTTTAACTTGTTAAAAAGTTATTTTGAAGCTATAAGGTTTCTATGCATCAAACCAATAAAAGAAAGTTCAAGAAAACAAGTAAATTTGTTTAGCCCTATGCTAAACAATTTGCTAGTTTTCATACATAATTTAGTACACACTCTTTGTTCAAACTTACCTCCAGAAAACGTTTTGTGCCTGGTTGATTACAATGAAAGGCTATTATTGAAGGAAAGTGACCAGATATAACAGTTTCAGCTGCTTTGTTGGCTAAAGTTGTAGAAAATACAAAAATCTGACTCTGTTGCTGCATATACTGTGTCTCCATGGAAATAGAGGATTTGTTGAGCATGTTGCTAGGGAGAGGTTGGACATAAGATGATGTTGGGATTGAAACTGTGGAACACACCATATTTGAGATCGCAGATACTGGGGGTAGATCTAAAAATATTTCATACATTTTAATTTATCCAATCTGCAAAAACTATTATTTTCCTGAAGATAAAAAATACTTCAAAATAATTTCCATCTGAATTATAATATTTTCTATTACCAATTAATGTTACACATGATTGAAATTACCAATTACTTACCTAATTATTAAATTTATTTACAAATTAATTATACTAATTTAAAAGCTTTTATATATATTTAACTCAAACTTTCTCATGTAAACTTGTTAATTTCCCGTTTTTAAAAATATCTAGAGAAATGCAAAAATATTATCATGGGCAACACACACTTATGTACATTTCTGATATCTAATAAGCTGAAGTTCACTCATAAAACTTCTGACAGAGACACACAAAAAATTAGGAAATCCTCTTGCAAATAAACCTTTCTAAAAAGAGAGAATCAGTACCAAATGATGTGTGAAATTTAAAAATAATAATAAAACTGAAGAGGATCAGACAATAACATATCAAACACTGAACACAAATTTGAAGTGAAAGGAGGGAAAGATATGACACATCAACTCTATGAAGTACAACCGAATGACAAACTATTAATTGTGTCATGAACGTTTATGCTGGACTGTGCTGTTGACCTTGTTTGTAAAACAGTGATGGAAAGGTCTCTTGTGACCACATGATCCAAGTGTTCCTTGGTTCTGATCTCTACAGCACAGCCACACATCCAGCTTCATCAATATAAAGGAATCCAGAAACAGGAAAAGTGAAAAAGATCAAAGTAATGGCATTAAATTTCTGACAGGCATTGGTGCTACAATGTTCTATTGAAAACTTCCTTAGAAGTAACTACTATTTAAATTCAACATTGACTATTTTCCTATTTTTTTCTGTATTGAAATACAATCGACTTACACACTGCCTTTAAAAAAAATTCAGTAAAGTAAAAAGATATCCAACATTCATGTAAATATCTATTGAGATTTACCAAAGAATGAATTTTTAAATGAATAATTTTAACAATGATTAAAACAAGAACATGATCTCTATTATTAAAATGTTGTCAAATTAATCTTTTAATTTAAAACAACAAAAAAAAACTGCATTATGAAAATTAAATATTTTGCTTCCCCCTACATGCATGGGTGCACATACCTCAACCTTGTATAGAGTGACATTCAGTGTGGTATTATGCATGTGATATCAGAACTAACAACATTTCATGTTACCCTACATTGCTGATATCACAAAAAGTTTGCATAAAAGTAAATAAAATACCAGTTACATTATACAGAGATACTGAAAAAACTTTAGATATATATTTAGAAGGTTGTAAAGGTTAAGCAAATGTTACAATTTCCAAATGGTACGATGGACAAAAGTATTTTTATTCTTCACATAAATACCACCTTGCATTCCAACTTGTCTGAGTCAAACAGAGGGCATTTCACAGACATATCTGCAGTACAAAGACATGGGTAACACATCTGACTTCATGTGCACAACAGACTTGTACTGTTGACTAACAGCTTGCCAGATTTTGTGAAGATAAATGTTGTAAATTTGGAATTATCTCAAACATTACTTCTCCAATACACGGTTGGTCCAGTAGACCCACCTCATGCATATTCAATTAAGCTTTTGTTTCTGCAGAAATTTTATTTACATACCATTTTGCCATATAAATAACAAATAAAGTACAAACTAGAGGGGTGCTCAGTAGAGCGCACATCTCCATCACACAGCATTGATCATATTCAGCCCCCCCAAAAATATGAAAATGTATCCATATGTCAGTTGTTATCAATGAACTATTTTTGGCAGGAAAATGAGAAATAATATTCTACATATGTCCACCAAGTCTCATCAAAATCTGATTATTTATGACTGAGTTATAGAGCAAAAACAGTGACCCCGAGCTTCCAAACACAAACCACTTCTAAGTTGGGTCACACATTAGTGAAAACATAACCCCCATCCACCTTTGGTGGCAGAAGAAATACTAAAATCTTACTAACTGGAATTGTGTATTATTAAATAATGTGATGCCTCAAAAAATAAAACATGACTTAGTAACTGCCAGGGTTAATATTTAATAATGTTAAAAAATAATGGCTGCTAATCGCAGTTCATCTTTTTTTTACCCAAACTTATTTAATGATTTTTAGGTGAATATTCAAAATAATTATAAAAAAAGTAAAAACCTGTAGTGTTGACTCCAGCTGAAGGAGGTGCATTTTCTTTATTACTGCTGACTGAGCCTTCACTTCGATTGTCTGTTAATATTGGATGAGTAGCTAAGCACCAAAAAAAGAAAGCAAAGGATGACAATTCTTTAAAACATCTTCTGTAAAAACAAAACAAAAAACAAGCAAAAATAAATCAAAATTTTCAAAATGAAAAAAAAGCAGTGCATGATTTTTGTCTGCATCCACCAGACAAAGATAATAACTAAAAGATGACTCAAAAGACACTTGATAGTTTTTTTGTAAAAATAAAATGTTTAAGAATACAAACTAAAATTTACTAAAAAACATTGTACACTGTAGGCCTAACAATATTATTTGTGCTTACTTCACTCAAATTTTTTTAAATACCTCAACATCAAATATATGGAAACAATGCATCATATGTTAGGTGAGAAGTATTTGTATTACTAATTCATCAAGGGTAAAAGAATTTATTGCATAACAAGTACTTTATAATGAAGCAAATTAATGCTGAAACGTTTTATATTAGCAATGCACAAGCATAGTCATTCTGTATTTTACAGATTAATAACCAGTAATGTCATTAAGAACTGGTACCAAGTGATTTGCTACCGCTTATCACAGCTGACAACAAACCGTTGTGGTTGTGGGTCCAAGAAGAGTAAAGCCAGAGTAAGATGCAACATTGGAGTTGTCCAACTGAATCATCACAAAATGACCTGACGAAAAATTACATCAAGCTTGATGACCAGCTAAAAGCTTGAGAATGTTAATGTAAGTGGACTGCTCCCCTGGATACTATACCCTAGAAAGGGGTGTAATTGTCAAGAACTGTCCCCTCCCCACCAATAAAGAGAAGATTTGGTGAACATATGCAGTCTGGACAAGATGGGGGAGGTGGAGATGGATGTCCAGGGTCATGTGAGACTGATTGAACATGGGTGGTCAAATGGATGGAAAGATACACGAGATAATTGCTGGACATATTCCATTGATCTCACTGAAGGGGGTGCATATGGGCATGTCCAAAATGAACAAGAGACTTAAGTGAAACCAGAGTTCCCAAAAGAGATAGAACTTCTCATACAGGAAGAGAAAAAGACACGAGATTGGTAACCAGAATCTTCACGTCTCAATGATATAAAGGAGAAGGCCAAACCTGCCCTGCAAAGAACTTAAAAGACTCTCGAGCAATTCAGATACTGAGTGGAAATCAAAACAGATTTGGAGAACTCAACCAGCCAACCAAAATGATATGCTTCCTGAAGAAGAAGAAGGAAAATCACAGTCATTTCTTTGAACAGTGAAAGAAGCAGCTTGTCATCCATATAGTATTGGAAATGGAGGCCCAGTAAATGAATCCTCTGTACAAATGTACTCATGCCCTGATTGAAAATGTGTGGGGCCCATAACTAGCCTGAAAGGAAAGACCCAGAACTGAAAACCTCAATCATGGATGAACCAGATAAAATGAGAGGTGGATGGACAAATTAGGATGTTGGGAAAAGGACTTGAAATATGAACTTTGGACATCTAGAGCCTGGAAGTGAAAATCCTCCTCACATTAACAGGGGATAACCAAAAATTAGTTCAAGGTGAAGAGAGCTATGACAGGGTGCTAATCTCTTGTTTTCTTAGGAATGATAAAAAAAAAGAAAAAGATTAAAGACACCAAGAGAAGTTGAGAACTTGTTCCATGGCATTCATAACCCACAGAGAAGGCACAGCCTCCTCTAGATACCGGGTGGAGGTGACAGAACTATGGAAAGATAAAGAGGAAGTTGAGAGTGAAAAGACAGGAAAAGTTTGTAGGAAAACACTTGTGTGACACAAAGATTGTCTGCAAAGTAAGTCCACAGGAGCAAAAAGAAGAAGAGCTACCACTGGTCAGCTCCTAAAACAAGTCAACTCTGTGATATGCAAAGGCCAAGAGATTTTAAAAAGGAGTAAGAGGATGAGGAATAAGGAAGAGGACAATCCAATGAGACTCCTGATGACAAGAAAACTGTTGTGACCCCTGGACCAAGAAAATCTGAAAACCAAAATAATTAGAGAAGACAACAAGCAGCCTTAGTTACAATTTCCAAAGTGTAAGGAATACCTCCAAATACATTATATTGAAGGAGCATCAGACAGAGATATATATGAGATAAGACTGAGAGAGAAGAGCACCTAAACGTAAGACATCCTAACTAGAAAAATCACACAAAAAAAGTTAAATGGGACACAATGAGTGAAAAAAAAAAGAAGACAAGATGAAAAAAGGTACTTGCTAGTTTACTCAGTAAAACTGACAGGAGCTTGATGTAATAACTCTAAAAGAAGGTGAAACATGGAAAAAACAGTGAAGATGTGGAGTGAGTAAGGGATGAAGACAAGTAGATGGGGAGAGATAGAGAGAGTAAAAAAAAACATAAAAAAGGAGGAGAACCACCAAGCTGAAAGAGGCTCATACAACAAGGTAGCTTTCAAGATTCAGAGAAAACCAACACGAGAAAGAGAAAACACATGACACATAACTGTGCTATTCAAGCAGTGAAGGGTGATATTACTTGACCTTCAGTGGGAAGAGGGAACTAGAAGCAAAAGCAGGTGTGGAAACAATACTGGTGAAATTTATTGAAAGATGGAGCAGGCTCAGCTGCAGTAACAGAAGCAAAGATTGAAAATCCCAGCTCAGAATGGAACCATCCACCTCGTGCACAATAGCTGTAATTTCATATGAACAAAGCAGTACCGAAGAATGAACCTTTGTTCAACTACTAGTGCCCATGGAAGATGTGTTACCCTCCCACTGGTGGAAGGCTATAGTCTAACAATTATTACATCATAGGCTGGTGCAATACACATTAATAAATAGTTTGTTCAAGGCTTGTGACATGTGCAAAATCTTCATGGCAGTGGTACTAGGTAATAACACTGATGTTTAGAGAGGAGAGTAAATGTTTCTGAATATATTTTCTTTGTTAATGTTCAACAGAAGATAGCTGCATGTATACAAGTCGTTTTTGATGTAAAAAAGCCAACTTTAAAATTGTATAATTTAGTGTATTTGATCCAAGTTATTTTCATATGTATGTCTATTTAACAATAACATCATGGAATTTCTTAATTCTATATCTCATATTGTTATAAAAAAGAATGTTTAACCTTTTTTGGTTTTGGTATTTTATGAAATGAATTTGTATTTTTTTACTCTCTTCATTTGAAATAGGGTTTTTCAAGTTTTTTTTTCATGTATATCTTAATCTGGTTTTAAGTATTATTGTTTTTTTAATACGAATTAAATGAACTATTTTTAATTTCTTCTTATTAAAGTCCAAGCACATTGCTTACTTCTCTTAATGCTTTTAAAAGTGTACTTTGTTTTATTTACATACCATTTTCCTAGCTTTTCACTTTGTTAGTCAGTAAAACACTATCTACATCTTCTAAGTTCAATGCCAATTAAATCCCATGTAGACAGAAGAGATAGGGTCCAAATTACTTTCAGTTAAAAAAAAAAGAAAAAAACATTTAACAGTGTTTTTACATGTATGGCAACACTGATAACATTTGCATGAATAAGAACTTCTACCAGTATGCAATTGTTTCCAGTTTAACTAGCAGTTAAGAACTATAGTTTGTCAGATTAAGTATAAGTAAGTAGTTTTGTTATTCTTGCTTACCATCTTGAGAATTATCCAAAGACTGGGCACTGGTCTTTGGATTCCCAGTTGTAGGGCAGTTACTTCCATTAACTATTATATTGGCACCATCTTGACATCCCTCTTGTCCACTAGTACTGCACGAGTTTGAAGAAAGGTTGCTGCATGAATTATTCATGACACCAGATGTCATATCATTATTGCCATTTACTATGTTAGAACTAGAATTGTTAGTATTTACAAGTAATCCTTTGTTTTCCTCGCAAAGATTCATTTTGATGTCACGCTCAGTCTTTGTAGCCTCAACTTTGGGCAGAAACTCCTCTAAGCCATTTTCAGTAGCCTCACTAGCAGTTTTTATTGTTTTATTAACATTTTCATGATTTAACGAGTCTACACCATTCACATTCACTAAACTTGCAGCAGTTCCACTGCCACCATTACAGGTGACTTTTTTTTCTAGCATGATACCAACTTCCTTCTGTTCCTGCTCTAACAACTTCAAGTTCTCAGCTTCTTGATTCTTCTTTTTACTCTCCAGATCCTGCAATAAAAGCCAAGCTCTTGGAATATGCTGTACACAAGAACGCTAAAACACTGAAATCTAAATTAAGTTTCCTTTCAACCAATATAGAAAGAATGTCCAAAATCTCAGTAGATAATAAACTTTTATATTAATTTAAAGGGAAAAAAAACAAGCTTTGGTTAGTGGAGTAATTAAGTATGTACTACCTATACAAGTTGATATCCAATAATCTGAAGGGCCTTCTTGTTTATCAACATCATACAATAAGTAACCTACTTTTGGTTGGTGCATTAGACAGTCACCTATTAATACAAACTAAAAACCCACCTTTAGCTGACTTTCAATTAAAGGAAACAGCTGAAAGTTGAGATAAGTATGCAATTCTCGCTCTTGGATGTTTGACGTTTTCCTGAACTGTTTAAGAAATGATTGCCAATCAGCAAGTGACACACAAACACATTCCCACTCTTTCCTGTTGGGCTTCTTAAAAGAATTTTCTCGGTAGAGCCGAAGATCTAAAAAACCAAAGTTTTTTGTTTAATCCTTTCAGTGCTACTTCAGTATTCTTAAAAGAGAAACAATATAAGTGCACATAATCTAGGATATACCACAAGCACTGGAGTATCATGTTCATATTTTTATGGAATATATGGGTCTAACCAGTCCTGCACAAACATATAACCAACAATATTGAAAATGTTAAAAGTACAATTAGAAGTATAAACAAAAATACACCTGAAATATACTTTTAATTTCTACATTTTTAGCTAAACTTTGCAATGCATGCAGAATTTCTAACATATTCATTAATCCTTCATGATTCCTTGTTGTGTACAAGAATAAATGTTTAATTAGAACAAAAAAAAAAATCATCAATCACTTAAATCACTGGAGAAACAAACTTCCAATGCTGTGTTACTGTGTTAACTATTTTCAATTGAAATTATGCAAATACATCTTTCATACAAATTTAGTATTCCAGGAATATTTTCTTCCCAAAAAATGTTAAAAATGCTCTTACAAGAAACTGAAAAATGTGAGAACACAGACTACTACAAATTAACTTATGATGCTAAACAGCATTGATAAGACTTCATTTCCTGTTTAATCTTAAACATTAAATCAAGAAATTCATTTAGTGATACACAATAAATACATATTTATCTATAATAATAAAAGGGCATGTCTGTGGGTCTGTGTGTGACCACCATAACTCCAAGAGGAAAAACCCAGAAACCTGAAATTTTGCACACCTACTAAATGGATCCTGAGAGTGTGCACCTGGGTATTATTACTTCTCCACATGTGTGCACATCTTTTTTGTGAGGTAAGCAAGCAAAAAACCACATAGAAAAGAATATGTGACCACCAAAGCTTCAAGATCAAAGAACCTAGAAACCTGAAATTTTGCACCCATACTAATTGGACCCTTAAGGTGTGCACCCGGATATTATTACTTATCCGTGTGCATGTGAGCATGAGCAAGTGCATCTTTTTGTGAAGCAAGCTTGCAAAAAACCACATAGGAAAGAATATGTGACTGCCATAGCACCAAGACCAAAGAACCTATAAATATGAAATTTTGCACCCATATTAAGTGGACCCTGAGGGTGTGCATCTGGGTATTATTACTTATCTACGTCATGAGTGCATCTTTTTAATGATGCAAGCTAGCAAAAAACCACATGGAAAATAAGTGGTTCCTTATATAAGAACTTCTATTATATAGAAAAGCCAATGCATTTTGGAAATAATGTATTCCAACAATGGCTTTTATATCATGTTGCTTAGCAGTAAAAGTATAACTTACAAAATTGAAAAAAAAAAATTGTTGTTTTCTAATTTAGAGGCTCCATTAATTAAAAAGGTTTGTTTTTTATTATTTAAGTTCAAAATTGGGGGACAAGTCAGAGAGGCCACATAGCAACAAAAGTATATAGGTTATACTTTTATGCTAAAATGGGTTCAAAATACACACACTGAGATAATCATCTAGAATAAATCAACCTAATAACCCGAATGAAGCCATGTACGTTCGCTAGTTTCTAAAAAAAGTTTGAGCTACATAAAAAATATTGTTAAATAGACCTACCATCTAAGTACCAGTAGAAATTGTTAAATGCATCCTGACCAGCACAGATTCCTCGCTGAAAAAAAAAAGAAAAAAAAAAGGCTCAAAAGACATAATAAATAGCTTGAATAAGAACTAATATCTACTATAACAATACACTAAGAATAAAAAGTTAATAATTTTCTTTTCTATGTAACTTTAGTGTGCAAAAACACAGCAACACCAATGTTTCAGCCTAGGTGTGAGGACACTGTAAGCTAATACAACAGATAAGCCTAGTCAGAATAATGATTAAGAGATGTTTCCAGTCAATAGTATAGAATATGCAGCAGCTGGACTTTTATTTGTCACAATCCAGATGTATGTTCATTCCAATCAATATTATTATTGCATGCTGCTATTTTTATGAAATTTGATATCTGTATCATTCTTAGTTTGAGGGAGTCTTAATGTTACATGATAAGCAAATGCTTTAATAACTAGATATTTCTTTAAAGTTTCAGAAATGATTTCAATGTTATTAAACCCAAGTAAGGTGAGATTAGAGTAAGTCACTGATTGATTAATGAGTACATTATAGTATTTGAAATTTAATGACGAGGAACCCACTTTGAGACTAATAATGCTTGCAAAAGTATCTGGTCATGTGACCTCTTTGTTCCATACTGTGTGTGTGTGTGTGTGTGTGTGTGTGTGTGTGTGTGTGTGTGTGTGTGTGTATATATATATATATATATATATATATATATATAT